AAGAAAAAAAAATTAAAATAATACCCACATATTTATATTGTATTGCTTGATATTATTTTGTTTTGTTTTGTACCATTAAGTCCATCCTAAAATATAATAAGAAAATTTGTTAGTTGATTCATGTAGATGAATAATTTTTACATTGAAAAAACACTCATTTATATACACTTGAAGAGAGTTATTTTTTCTCTGGAGAGACACAATTTTCTTTTTTTTCCACTCTCCAAAGAATTGTTATTAATAGAAGCTATTAATTAAACTTCATTCCATATATGCTTATACATAAAGCTTAATTGATTGCACACTTTATGTATATATGTAATTATTGATCATCAAAATGTACATGATCAATACACATATTGAATGAGATTGAGAAAAAAACATGGTCATTGTCTTGTACAGAATCATATAGACGATATTCGTTGTTATCTTGTCGATGAATGTTGTCACATGTTTCTCTGCTATTATAAACAATGCAAAAAAAAAAATTATTATTTTATTATGATGAAATCATCAATATTTTATATCAACAAGAAAATCATATGTTTTTTGTATTATAAAATGTTATATCAAACATAATAATTTATTTGAAAAATTAAAAAGTACATTAAGTCATAATCATATTTAAATGAATTTTTTTTCATTTGTTAAATTATTTTTCTATCGAGAAAGTCTAGAATAGTTTTAGTTGATAGCTTATAAAAATTTTCTATCAAAAGTCATTAGAAACAAATCTATTTAAGGTTGGTCTCTCTTCAAAAAATGTATAATTTTCAGAAAAATATTATCTCTACGTCTAAACTTATTTAATATTATATTTTGTTTCTCAAAAAACGTACTTTTTAATGAGAAAAATAGAAATAACTCTTGCTCAATTCATTATAACAGCAAAGTTTATTTTTGTCTATTTCAACTCTATGTGTACTGAGTATTGAAGTTAACTTTAGTTTCTTATTACAATGATTTATTTTTGAAAATATCAATCTAAACAGATCATCCTATATGTTATATCAATTTTGAATACAATTATCATATGAAATTTTTTTGTCTTTGTTTTTCATTTAAGTTATGTGCATGTAATTGGAAATAGTCGTGTGATTCTTGGATGAAAATATACAAATATTGGTTCAGGTTGTTCAAAAACAATGCAGTTATTAGTTGAACATGAACAATTTGCTAAAGTTTGTTGTTATTGAATTTGTTGAACCACCAACAAATCTTCAAGTCAATAGGTTACATTCATATTGAAATGTACTAATATGTAAACCAACATTTTTTAATAAAATTGATGAAGAAAAAATGTTCTATGGAAAAGACTTTTATTTAATCTTTGTTGTTTTTTTTCATACATTTGTACAAGAAAGAAGAAAATTTGAGTAAGAAAAAAATTCTTTATTTATTGAAAATTAATTATCAAAATAAAATTTTAGATTATAAGGATTTAATCAATCAGATCTTTTTATTTCTGTTTAACAACTTCAAGTATATTTTTATTGTTATAGATGAATAATGTATTATTTTAAAATCTATTTTAGATGTTTATTAATGAATATACTGAAATTTCGTACGTGAATATTTTTATGGTTCAACATCCATCTCATACACTTTTACAACAAAATGGTTTTACTCAACAAGTTTATCTTAAATATAAACAAGAATGTCTTGATGGTAAAAAAGTAACATTGATTGTAGAGAAAAAAAAAGATTATTAGTTCAGTACATATTTACAATATTTCAAGAGAAACAAGCTACTGGTAAAAAAAAGATTGAAATTATGTTGCATTGAACGTAAAGAAAACGAGTCTTTTAATGAATAAAGAACAGTTAGCATATCTAAAAACAACAGTGAAAACTACTCTCCAGTAAAAATCAGAGTCTAAAAAGACTTATATTCTTATTTAAATAGCTAATAGAGAATATGTCTGTTGCTATAATTTTCAAAAAGAAAACAAAGATTTTACTCTTTTATGGAGTTTTTTTAATAAATACTATCATTCTTATCTACATGATAAATTCGAAAAGCAATAAAATAATTGTCAACGATTAAAAACACTAAGTTTCATTAATCGCCAAACTTTATTATTTCATAGGAAATATTTATGATCTAAAGTTATGTTGATTTACAAATAAAATATATTTTGTTTTCTGTAATGATCTAATTTCTAGAACGCGTTAAACTTGGTCCTGATCAATCAATGGAAATGGATACACTCTATCGTTTTTAGTCATTTTTCTTATGTGAAAATTTTAATCGTCATATGTACAATGAATTTAAACAATATGCTGTTGACGATACTAAAACTGATCATCGGCATATAAATGAATTGTTTTTATGAAAAAGAATAAGCAAAAAAATTGAGTATTACTATTTATGTATAGATATGGTGTTGAATGTCTATTTCGATTTTATACATGTGGTATAGAAAAACATTTTCGTCAACATGTATTTGAAGATTTTCAATAAGAAACTCTTTGTGATCATGAAGCTGGTAGTAAAACAGATTACACAAAAAAAAAAGAAAAGTGTCAATAACAAAAATAATTTTTCTATTAGGTCAATTATACGGTTTAGAAAAATTCTGGACATTTTTAAAATATTCTCGGCAAAAACCAAAAATCAATCCAAAACTTGAAGAAATTTTAAAAAACTATAAAAATCTTGAAGATTTTCGTGTTGATGGTGCATCATTTCCACAACAATTTTTCCCAACAAAATCAAATTATAGTAATTGAAAAACATTTTGTTTTTTCTATAATATAAACAATTTCTTTATAGACTGTTCCAGCACCCGAAGCAATTGTTGCTGCAGTAGCAAAGAACAGTGATACATCAAATTCATTAAAACCCAATGGTGAACAATATCTGAACGGTGCTAAACTTTATACACGTTTTGCTTTTCTTTTATTTTGTCTAAAATAAGAAACGGTGCTCACATTTTTTCAAGTGGATTTCGATTTATTTAAAAGTATGCATGTATTTTTTTTTTGCTTTCAAAGTTTATTGTTATTTAATCTTTTCCTATGTATATATTACATTGGTTTATTATTGTAGTAGATAGATAGATTAAATAGTGATGCATTTTCTTTTTCTATCGATAGAGATATGAAGAATTTTCATATGGTTTCGTTTTGTTTCTGGAACTATTTGCTTATAAATTCATCTCGTTTATTTAATAATATTGGTAAGATATTGAGATAATATTTTATTTCAGTAGAAGAATTTAGCGTTTTAAGAAGAATTGGTATTGGTTTAGCTATTGCTGGTGGTGTGATTAATTCTATGCTTTATAATGGTAAATATGAAAAGATTAAAAAAACTTGTTTTCTTTAAATTTAAATATATTCTAGTTGATGATGGTCATCGAGCTGTTATTTTTGATTGTTTCCAAGGTGTTAAACTAGGTGTTATTGAAGAAGGAACTCATTTTATGATTTCATGGCTTCATAGACCAATTATATTTGATATTCGTACACGACCACGATCTATTCTATCAATAACAGAAATAAAAGGTATAAAAGCTAGAAGAAAACAGTCAACTTCAGGAGAGAGGTAAACATGAGGAAAATGTAAGCTCGCGAAAAAAGGAAGGTAGATACGATGTCTATTGAGACATCAATGAATGTATATGGCTAAAGTATTTTAAAAAATTTTGCGGTCATCGATGGTGACTCAACGGATCGGTTTACACCTCTACACTTTCATCATTCACCAATCTTAGGATACTTCATAAAACTTAAAATCGGAAGTCTCCGTTATTTTTTCTTCGTATAAATGAAATATGCGTAAATTATACTTTATTATTTTTATTTTAGATTTACAAACAATTAATATAACATTACGTATTCTTTATCGACCAAGAGCTGAACTTTTACCAAAAATTTTTTGCAAATTTGGGTTTAGATTATGAAGAACGTGTTTTACCATCGATTATTAATGAAGTTTTAAAATCTGTTGTACTAAGTCTCAAACACTTTTGTTTTTGTTACTATGAATAATTAAACTGATTCTTAGTCTCAATTTGATCCTATTGAATTGATTACACAACGTACACTTATTTCTCAACGTGTTAGTGAATTATTAACAGAACATGCTGTTTAATTTGGTTTATTACTTGATGATATTTCAATTGTAAGATACGACAAAAAAGAGTCTCGAGTTGATTATATTGTTTTTTTCTTTAAATTAGACACATTTAAGTTTTAGACCTGAATTTACATGTGCTGCTGAATTACAACAAGTTGCACAACAATATGTTGAAAAACAACGATTTTTAGTCGAAAAAGTAAATCAATAAGAATAAAATTTGTATGAGTTTGTTTTTTTTTTGATAAAAAAAACAGACCGATCAAAGTCGTCAAGCAAATGTTATTGCAGCAGAAGGTGATGCTCGTGCAGCTGATTTGATTGGCAAAGCTTTAGATGAAGCTGATGATCGTAAATTTTCGAATATCTTTTATTATCCTGTCTTACTTTGTTTTAATATTCATGTTAGGTTTGATCGAACTTCGACGAATTGAAGCCGCTGAAGGTACTGCAAATCAATTATCAAAATCAAGAAATAGCGTCTATTTACCACATGGTCCTCAAATGTTACTTAACATTACTGGTGCTATGCAATAAAAATATTGTTTTCTGTTTTCATAGTAACCTAACGAGATTGATTTAGGAAAATAAAAAGAACATATAAGAGTTTTTTTGTATGTGTGTGCTTATAAACTATTGAGAATACTAAAGCATTGTATTGTCCTGTTTTTTGTTCGATTAAAGAAAAAGAAGATCAGATCAACAATTCTCTAGATGATATTAAAGATTCGAGTACGACTGAAATGATGAATTTCGATAATCTCTTTCGACGTTTTATATTAACCCAATCATTTGTACGTGGTTGGGGAAATCCATTTCATTTACAAGAAATTTTTAACTATCGACGTGAAAAAATTGGTGTAAGAGATGAGTGTTTAGAACTTATACCAGCTGAAAATGTACAGGAAAATACTGTTGAAATAATTAAATAAGGAACAAAAAGGTAATCAAAATTATATAAATGCTGGATTTCGTTCACCACTTGCCAGTTATTTATCACATTTGGTGAGTAATTAAAATTATTTTAATCATTTAATTAATATTATCTTTTTTCTTTTGTTATATTTGTTTAAATAGGTTCCATCTCAAGTAGCTACAGCTCATTTTCAACTTGTTCTATCACGTGATCATCGTTTTGGTATTGATTCAATTCCAATAGAAATTTGTTATGCTGGAACAGGTGATCATGGTTTTAGTCGACGAAGGTTATTTACTGCAGTCTCATTAATTAATCAATATCCTATAGGTTCAATTCTTCTTGAAAATCCATATGATGGTTTAAGAAAACCACCAGATCAATCTCGTTCATCATTATTATATGTCACCAATTTATATATCACGGGTGAAGTACTTGTTTTAGAAACACTTATGCTACTTCATTGGTGTCAAAATATGAAATTAACATCAGCTATTCTACATGGTTTTTCTCTTGGTGGACATATGGTTTCATTAGCATTTACAAAGTAAGATTCAATTCTATTATTTGATCTATTTAATGAATGGATATACAGTATCTATCATAATTTCAAACAATGATTCAAGTAGAGCAAACCATATTACAAAAAAGAATATAAATTAAAACATTGATTATTTGATTCCCTAAGTTAGGACTTTTTTAGACAATCCAAAAGCCTAATTTCTCAGTGTCTAGTACTTGAACTCTCTAGGAGGGTTTTTTATTGAGTAAAAGTTGAATAATTTTGGTAGCCATTGTGTATATATTTATATTTTAGATGGCCTGATCTACCTTCTCGACAATTCTATGAAAATAAAGCCTCTCAAACATTTTATGATTATTTACGTGAACGAAATCGATCAATAGATTCAAATAAAATTGTTCTCAATCTTATTAAAGATATGATGCGTCTTCTTATGGATGAATTTACATCTTTATATAATTATTCACGTTCAGTTCAATCAAATATATCTGATGCTATGTTTATTGCTTACACACATGATGGTTATGTATTACGTGATGGTATTCCACTTATGAATGATGAATGGCCTGGTATTCATATCCGATATACTCCTCATGGACATGTTAGTGCATTTTTATTTAATCAATCAGATTTTCATCATGCTGCTGCTAAAATGTTACAACGACAAGAATCAAATGTAAAATTAAAAAACACATCTAATCATATCACCAATTTCAGTTACTACACCTAAAAATTCGTGAAGATATATATTTTTTTCATATAGATATTTTCTCGAAAAGTATCAAATATTTCCTAGTTTTTGTGTTATGATTTGAATAATAACTCAGAGAAAAGAAAAGTTTTGATCGAATATAAACTAGATAATATATTAATCGTTTTGTTTTTTAAATATAATTTGTATGACTCTGGTAGAAACATGAGCAAACATTTTTTTGTCATATTTATCAGCAAATAAATATTGAGAGAACTTCTCCAACTGATATCCTCTGTTCGAGCTCATAAGTAGGACTCATAGTTATGATGAAAACATTAAACATGTTTGTGCTCTTAAGCCTTTCATGATTGTTCTATTAAATTTTCAGCATATTGCAGGATATTAGCAAAAACAAACTGCAATAACGAGTCTCCATTTGAAACTTTCTCCCAATAACAGATCTTATAACAATTATTACATTCTAAAAGTTTTAGCTCAAACGAATGGATCCAAGTCAATCAATCAGACAGTGAGATCAACCACAGATTCTTGCATGTTCATACAAGGTCGTACAATTTGATTTCACTATATTGTTTGATTCCTTTATCATAACCCATACATGTTAGAGTTCTCTTCTTTATAAATTACCATACCATCCATACGCATACATAGCCAACATTTATATTTTTGGTAGCATAACTGGATACAGATTTATCTATATACCTTTACGCAGAATTGGAACTGGTCTTTATCAATTCTCTTTCTTTTCGCAGATGTGAACGAGAAGGAAAAGAACAGCGTGTGCATTTATATGATCATGTCCTTAATATCAAATAAAACTTAGTTATTACTTGAAAAAGAAAATGCATAATGCAAAATAGTTTGTGTTAACAACAGAAGAATTACTTGAATTTTGTATTATAAAAATAACTTTATAAAAAAACTGAACTATTCTTTTGCTTTATTCGTATCTGAACATTTTAGGTATTCACTCCAGAATATTGTGTAGTGAACATGAAGGCACAATAAATAAATTTTATTTTGTATTTTCATATAATTTTGAAATTATTTATAGAAGATCAATGAAGAAATGTATTTCTGTATAAAACATACTCTATTGGTATTTAATGTTGAGAAGAAACTAAAAATAAACAGAGCGAAAAAGAAAATATTAGTTTTTTTTACGATTGCATTTTAATGTTGATTATTTCAAATAATGAAGATAGATATTTTTTATTTGTACTTCAGGGTTTACATTCTTGTTAAGATATAAATAGCCAGTATTGACATAATCTGTAGCTAAAAGATAATAAAACTTCTCTATCATTGAATCACTGTTTATTTGCTTGATATCACAAACAGATTGACAAAAAAACACAAGTTTTATCAAGTCTAAAATGCTGATATTATATACTGAGGGTGTGGGTGTGGGTGGGTGTGAGTGTGCAAGCATATAATACCTACATCCACACCCATACTCACACCTCACACTCCACACCCACATCCTTGGTCGGAAGCCCGGTACCGAAAACCTCTGATTGGCTAAACTTCCAGCCTGAAAGAATCTGATTGGTCGAATGCCCGATTTCGAAAACCCTTGATTGGCTGAACTCCCAGCCTGAAAGAATCTGATTGGTTCGGGACGCCCGATATCGAAAAATCCTGATTGGCTGGAATTTCAACTTGAAAAAATCTCATTGCAAATTGCGAGATTCAATTTCTCAGTGATATGCAAGGCAGAGCCCGCACATATACCCGTAATTGGATAGAGTGTCCTTGATAACCTTAGGATCGGCCCGAACATGGCTGGCACCTATTCTAATCAGAGATGTTCGTCGCGGTGCAACCATCAACACAATCGAACCGCGGCCGTGGTTCAATTATGTTGACTGTAGCGCCGCGATGGACATCTCTGGTCCTGATAATAAGAAGGAAAAGTCTTCCTAAAATCTGATTGGCCCATTTTTCAACCAATCACATAGCAAGAATCTATTTCTCAGTGATATGTAAGGCGGAGTCCTCACATATAGCCCTCATTCGATAGAGCATCCCCGATAACCCTAGGATGGACTCCAACGTGACTAGCAGTTGTCTTCATATTAAGAGAGAAAAGTCCTCTTGAAATCTGATTGGTCCATTTTTCGGCCAATCAGACACCGGAGAAACATACAAATTTCCATTGTGAAGACTCCGTCCTTTTCGGATGGAGAAAAACGTCTACCATTGAACTTTGAAGGCGATGTTTTTTTGACCTTTGAATCCGACAAACAAACAGACAAACACATTTTGTGTTTTTTTCGTATGACCCTCTCTTCAGTCGAGGGAATAACTTTCGCTGGAATGAATGCCATTATATATCAGTGCAATTCGATGCAACACCTATTACTACGTTTTTTACTGATAGAGTAATGAATCTATTATAATTTTTCCGTTTGAAATACTACTAATAATAACTGTACCCATATATATTCACTATTTTGTATTTATTGTTGTCGGAATAAACAATGAATCGAATAATCTTTTGTTTATTGGAGATCATTGGAACTATCCGTATTTTATAGTAGAAACAATTACATTCTGTTCGTTTATTCACTTTATATATAAACATATACAATCAAGTTAAATCAAAGAAAAAAAAGGATGTCAACAATCAAACGATGTTTACAATGGTTATATTCACCCGGCAATGTCA